CTATCGCAATTCACGGTCTGTTTGGGGCCTGCGAGATGCGCTCGTGTTTTGCGTTGGACTGCCATGCCATGTGCGCCCGCCGAGGCGAATCATTCGCCCACACTGCACCACGTAGATTGCACCACAAATGTTGCACCACGTAGATTTGGCACAACGCGTTGCACACCATAGACTGTGCCGCGAAGGACCCATGCCCTGACGTTCCAGAAAAGGGGGTGGCGGCGTGTCAGGCGCGGGGGGGGGGATGATTTTGCAGCGTGGGTGGCCCTTTAAGAACCAGTGCCCAAAGTCTCCAGGGAACAGGTTTCTCGCAATCGCGCTTCGTCCGTGTAGCGGCACATCTCGCGAGCTCCCTGCAGTCTCGTTGATGGGCCCCGGGCCCGAGAACGGGCCCCCAGAGGCCGACATCGATGAAACACGCCTGTGGAGACAATCGCATCGTGGTCGACCTGGAGATGCAAAGGTTGTTTTGGGTCAGGGGATCCACAGTTGAGTTGTGGAAGTCGATCACTGGAGAGGAAGCGTGCTGCCAAATAATTTCGAGATGTCTAAAATGTTTCAAACATTTTTAAAACAACATTTGTTAATTACTCCGACGGTAGGACCCCACATGAGAATCTGTTTAGCTTACCCTTTGCCCTTTCCTCTTCCTCCTGGGGCTCCCGCCTGGGTCTTCCTCACAATTCACTCACAGACGAGGCTCCCGCTCGAGACTTCCTCCATATTCAGGTCTCAAGAGCCCAAAAGTGACGACAGTTGCACGTTGCGGATGACCCGCTCGGATTCAAACATGAAGTGCGGGCCGCACAGGGAGGGGGTTCCCGCCTGAGACTTCCTCACAATTCACTCACAGACGAGGCTCCCGTTCGAGACTTCCTCCATATTCAAGTCTCAAGAGCCCAAAAGTGACAACAGTTGCACGTTGCGGATGACCCGCTCGGATTCAAACATGAAGTGCGGGCCCCATAGGGAGGGGGCTCCCGCCTGAGACTTCTTCACAATTCACTCACAGACGAGGCTCCCGCTCGAGACTTCCTCCATATTCAATCTCAAGAGCCCAAAAGTGACGACAGTTGCACGTTGCGGATGACCCGCTCGGATTCAAACATGAAGTGCGGGCCCCATAGGGAGGAAACTCCCGCCTGAGACTTCCTCGCAATTCACTCACAGACGAGGCTCCCGCTCGAGACTTCCTCCATATTCATATCTCAAGAGCCCAAAAGTGACGACAGTTGCACGTTGCGGATGACCTGCTCGGATTCAAACATGAAGTGCGGGCCCCATAGGGAGGGGGTTCCCGCCTGAGACTTCCTCGCAATTCACTCACAGACGAGGCTCCCGCTCGAGACTTCCTCCATATTCATATCTCAAGAGCCCAAAAGTGACGACAGTTGCACGTTGCGGATGACCCGCTCGGATTCAAACATGAAGTGCGGGCTCCATAGGGAGGGGATTCCCGCTTGAGACTTCCTCACAATTCACTCACAGACGAGGCTCCCGCTCGAGACCTCCTCCATATTCATATCTCAAGGGCTCAAAAGTGACGACAGCTGCACGTTGCGGATGACCCGCTCGGATTCAAACATGAAGTGTTGGCCCCATAGGGAGGGGGCTCCCGCCTGAGACTTCCTCGCAATTCACTCACAGACGAGGCTCCCGCTCGAGACTTCCTCCATATTCATATCTCAAGAGCCCAAAAGTGACGACAGATTCACGTTGCGGATGACCCGCTCGGATTCAAACATGAAATGCGGGCCCCATAGGGAGGGGGCTACCGCCTGAGACTTCCTCACAATTCACTCACAGACGAGGCTCCCGCTCGAGACTTCCTCCATATTCGTATCTCAAGAGCCCAAAAGTGACGACAGTTGCACGTTGCGGATGACCCGCTCGGATTCAAACATGAAGTGCTGGCCCCATAGGGAGGGGGTTCCCGCCTGAGACTTCCTCACAATTCACTCACAGACGAGGCTCCCGCTCGAGACTTCTTCAATATTCAAGTCTCAAGAGCCCAGAAGTGACGACAGTTGCACGTTGCGGATGACCCGCTCGGATGTTGCACGTTGCGGATGACCCGCTCGGATTCAAACATGAAGTGCGGGCCCCATAGGGAGGGGGCTCCCGCCTGAGACTTCCTCACAATTCACTCATACACGAGGCTCCCGCTCGAGAATTCCTCCATAGTCAAGTCTCAAGAGCCCAAAAGTGACGACAGTTGCACGTTGCGGATGAACCGGTCGGATTCAAACTTGAAGTGCGGGCCCCATGGGGAGGTGCTCCCGCCTGAGACTTCCTCGCAATTCACTCACAGACGAAGCTCCCGCTCGAGACTTCCTCCATATTCATATCTCAAGAGCCCAAAAGTGACGACAGTTGCACGTTGCGGATGACCCGCTCGGATTCAAACATGAAGTGCGGGCCCCATAGGGAGGGGGCTCCGGCCTGAGACTTCCTCACAATTCACTCACAGACGAGGCTCCCGCTCGAGACTTCCTCCATATTCAAATCTCAAGAGCCCAAAAGTGACGACAGTTGCACGTTGCGGATGACCCGCTCGGATTCAAACATGAAGTGCGGGCCCCATAGGGAGGGGGCTCCCGCCTGAGACTTCCCCACAATTCACTCACAGACGAGGCTCCCGCCTGACACTTCCTCCATATTCAGGCCTCAAATCAGCGAGTAGTGATGATGATGATGATGATGATGATGATGATGATGATGATGATGATGATGATGATGATGATGATGATGATGATGATGATGATGATGATGATGATCGTTCGATGCCGATGATGGTGAGTGATCGTGGGATGGTGATGGTGATGCTGATGGTGATGACGATGATGAGTGGGGAGTGATGGTGATGGTGATGATGATGCGGAGGAGGAAGCAAAGAGGAGCAGAGGAGAGGGAGGAGGAGGAGGAGAGATCCTGCGCGGAGGGTGTGCAGAGAAAACAAGAACCCCACTTAGGATGTGGGGAAAAAAACATGTTTGAAACATTTTAGAACATGTTTTCACATTTCAAACACATCTTTAATCCAATGATCGGATTGTTCGAGTGTCCATTGTTATGGCATCCGCAATAGTTGAGCCCCAGACCCCCCGTGATGTGCGCTCTGGTCAGGATTTCGAGGCGGATCCAGCGGCAGCGGCGACGGTGCCCAGGGCAGGCCAGGAACCGCCAAACGCGCCGGCCTTCGACGGTCCTCGAACGTCGTCGAAGAAGAAAAAACCTTGTGGAAGTCGATTAATGGAGAGGGAGCATGCTGCCAAATAATTTCAAGATGTCGAAAAACAAGCGAACATGTTTTAACTATGTAAGAGCATGTTTGAAACGTGTTTAGAACATTGTTTATACATGTTAAGCACTTTTTAGTTAAATGATCGGATTGTTAGAGTGTCAATTGTCATGGCATCCACAAGAAAGGCCACACAATCATGAACATTTGGCTCTCCGCGCGGATTTTTTGGAGCCGCGCCCGGGCCCCCCCCAGCGGCGCCTCTCGGCGCGAATCCAGGAACTCCGCGCGGAGTGCCACGAGCTTCTGCTTGTTTTTTTTTTTTTCTGCCGTCGGGCCTTCGAGCTCCTCGAGCCGTCGAGGACCAGGAGAGCGCCCTGAAGTACAGCCCTGGAGTACAGCACGTTGCGGATGAACTGGTCGGATTCAAACTTGAAGTGCGGGCCCCATGGGGAGGTGTTCCCGCCTGAGACTTCCTCGCAATTCACTCACAGACGAGGGTCCCGCTTGATACTTCTTCCAAATTCAGACCTGAGGAGCCCAAAAGTGACGACGGTTACAGGAATCCGATGACCCGCTCGGATTAGTAACATGATCTGCGGGCCCCATAAGGAGGGGGCTCCCGCCTGAGACTTGCTCGCAATTCACTGACAAACGAGGCTCCCGCCAGATCCTTCTTCCAAATTCAGACCTGAGGAGCCCAAAAGTGACGACAGTTACAGGACTCCGATGACCCGCTCGGATTAGTAACATGATCTGCGGGCCCCATAGGGAGGGGGCTCCCGCCTGAGACTTCCTCACAATTCACTCACAGACGAGGCTCCCGCCTGATACTTCCTCCATATTCAGGCCTCAAGTCAGCGAGTAGTGATGATGATGATGATGATGATGATGATGATGATGATGATGATGATGATGATGATGATGATGATGATCGTTCGATGCCGATGATGGTGAGTGATCGTGGGATGGTGATGGTGATGCTGATGGTGATGACGATGATGAGTGGGGAGTGATGGTGATGGTGATGATGATGCGGAGGAGGAAGCAAAGAGGAGCAGAGGAGAGGGAGGAGGAGGAGGAGAGATCCTGCGCGGAGGGTGTGCAGAGAAAACAAGAACCCCACTTAGGATGTGGGGAAAAAACATGTTTGAAACATTTTAGAACATGTTTTCACATTTCAAACACATCTTTAATCCAATGATCGGATTGTTCGAGTGTCCATTGTTATGGCATCCGCAATAGTTGAGCCCCAGACCCCCCGTGATGTGCGCTCTGGTCAGGATTTCGAGGCGGATCCAGCGGCAGCGGCGACGGTGCCCAGGGCAGGCCAGGAACCGCCAAACGCGCCGGCCTTCGACGGTCCTCGAACGTCGTCGAAGAAGAAAAAACCTTGTGGAAGTCGATTAATGGAGAGGGAGCATGCTGCCAAATAATTTCAAGATGTCGAAAAACAAGCGAACATGTTTTAACTATGTAAGAGCATGTTTGAAACGTGTTTAGAACATTGTTTATACATGTTAAGCACTTTTTAGTTAAATGATCGGATTGTTAGAGTGTCAATTGTCATGGCATCCACAAGAAAGGCCACACAATCATGAACATTTGGCTCTCCGCGCGGATTTTTTGGAGCCGCGCCCGGGCCCCCCCCAGCGGCGCCTCTCGGCGCGAATCCAGGAACTCCGCGCGGAGTGCCACGAGCTTCTGCTTGTTTTTTTTTTTTCTGCCGTCGGGCCTTCGAGCTCCTCGAGCCGTCGAGGACCAGGAGAGCGCCCTGAAGTACAGCCTGCTCCAGGCCAAGGAGCGCGAGAACGCGCAGGCGCGCGCGCGGCTGCAGCTCATCGAGGCCGCGGCGCGGCACGCCGCCGAGGCGGAGGCGGCGCGCCTGCGCCTGCGCGACCAGGGCGTCCTCTCGCGCGACGACCTGCTGAGGCCTGGCCGCGGCCGCCGCCTGGCCCTCTCGTGTCTCGCGCGGGCCTCGAGGAGGAGGAGGAGGGAGGAGGAGGAGGAGGAGGAGGAGGAGGAGGTTGGAGCGAGGAGGAGGAGGAGGAGGAGGAGGAGGAGGAGGTTGGAGCGAGGAGGAGGAGGAGGAGGAGGAGGAGGAGGAGGAGGAGGAGGAGGAGGAGTGTCTCGTGCGGGCCTCGAGCGCTCGAGGCTCGTGCCCGAGGTTCCTCGGGCGCTCGAGGTTCGAGGCTCTCGGGCGCCCTCGCCCGTTCTCGGGGCCTGTCCAGCCTCGGTGCGCTCTCTCCAGCAGCTGCTCCTCGCCGAGGGCTCTCCGGGGGTGCCCAGGCCGTCCCGAACGGCCGCCGGAGACCCGAGTGATGACCCGAAGGCCAGACGACGAGGATCACTGGGGAGGTCAGCTCATCGGCGGCGAGCGAGGGGGGGGAAATTGAGAAGGAGCAGGCCTGCTAAGAAGGCGGCGGGACTTCTCAGAAGCCCTCGCGCCTTAGAGAACTTCTCAGAAGGCTTAGAAGGCTTAGAAAACTTGTTTTCGGGGAAGGCTTAGAATACTTCTCAGAAGGCCGGGGGGGACTTCCGAACCCTCTGAGAAGGCCTTCTTCTTCTCGCTTCCCCCCCTTCGGATGCAACTCCTGGGAGGTCAAATTCTGTTTTCGCCCTGGTCCGAACTCTGGCTTCATCCCGCTGAATCCCGCTGAATCCGGCTTAATCCCAGTTGATCCCGCTTAATCCGGCTTGATCCTGCTTGGTCCGAGGCCCACTCCGGCGCAACAGCTTCCAAATGGGGTTTTATCCTCCTTGCTCTTTCCGACGAAGCCCTCCCAGCAGTTGCCTCCCAACCCCACCGCTCGCCGCCGAGCTTACGGGGGTGGTGGTGCACCGACCGCCGACCGCCCACTCCTCGCCGACGGGGGCCCGACAGCTCACCCCGCCCGGGATCTGTTCGGATATCCGCCATCGGGGGGCCATCGCCAGGCCCCGTCGGCGATACACCGTCGATGCGAGCTCGACGTTTCTCTCCCTGAGCTAGTCTTGAGTTGGGCCCGTCCCTCTGCAGGAGGGATGTTCACAAATTGTCAAAAAAATCGTATGGGGAAGATTTATTGAGCATTTTCTGCAATTTTGGGCGCATTTTTTGAGTACTTCTAATTTTTCGCCCAAGATCCCCCTGTAGGGGAACATGCCCGACCTAAAGCTAGTCTCGGCCTGCTTGCAACGTCGCCCCAAATGGAGCGTATCCGGAGCTAGGGCCGCCCTTAAGGATGCAATTCCTGAAGGGGTTGAAGTGAGTATCGGCGCTGGTAATCGTTTTCTTGTTCATTGGTCTGCCGATCGGCGCGGGCCCTCGCCCCCCCCCCCGTGGAATAGATCTTGGCTTCGTTTGGCGCCTGTTTCAAGCTGGTGGAGTCCCTCCCCCATAGGACGCAATGTTGCAAAGAGTCGCATCAGAGGTCCGGAGCCAGACCCCCCTCTCCCCCCTTTCTGCCCAATGTCGACATGCCGAATAAGAAACCGTTCACCTGGTATATCTGTGGCCGGACCTGCCTACTCTAGCACAATCCCGTTTAATGTGGCGCAAAGTGGCCCTTTCGTCGGGTTCACTAGAGTCAAGCATCTGACTAAGAAACCTCCTCCCGAGAAGCTGGGCCAGCGTTTTCGCAGCCAACGTCCCGGAAACTTGGCTCAGTTTCTTGAGCACGTTCGCCCCTCCAGCGTTCACAGCAGAAGTGGGCCCTGGCTTGTTCAAAGAGAAACCTCCTCGAATGCGGCCCAGATTTCCTAATCTACAGTTTTCTTGACCAAATTTCTGGTATGGCCCCTTAGCCAAGACCCCCGACTTCATTAATTTTCCATAACGTCGACTCTGGAGGCCTCGACCCATTCC